CTAAAATATCTTTTACGTTTTAATGAATGCTACAGATCCACAGTGTGGATTTTGTTCACTGGATATCCAAATTAAACAGCATCAACTGTCCCAGTGGTCGGGGATCGTCACAGGCTAGTGCCTAAAATATATAACGTCTCCTTTTGTTTCTAAAAGGGTGTCCTTTTGACTCACCCTGAGGTCAACTGGGACTGTRTGGCTGGACTGTGGTGTCACTAGAGCTTTCATTACTGGTAAACTTGACCCAAGTGGGAACAGGTGGTTAAGAATTGGTATGTTCCATTAAGGGGTGAATCACAACACAAAACAAGATTTTTTCACACTTAAATAAAAGAAAAAGTACTGCAAAGGGTTCTTTTATTGTTAAGATGGACAATATAAATATTTAACACCAACATTTTGTTGGTTTTAATGTTTCAGGTGGTAAAAAACAAAACCTAATTGAGCCAAACATCCCCTTCTGTTGAACTTTGGATTGGCGATCTGGTAGTCTAAATAATGTCTTTCTGAACTCTGTTTTTAGTTAGAGATGCATTTCATTGTTGAATTGAGCTTTTATTTTTAAACTCCCAGCTGGTTCTGGACCGTAGATTGGTCGACGGCCAGAATGATGTCCCGTTCTCATCGACAGACCAGAATATGAGCCAGTGGGAAAACACTGGTGTCGTTTCAGACATAAACTCCTTTATTAACTGTGCAGATAAAAGCCAAATCACTCCTCAGACTCTGGTCTGTCTTCAGCAGCCTCTAGAGCCAACAGCGTCCAGTCTTCATCATCATGGGCGTCAAAGCTGCTCTACCCAAGTATGAGCTCTACTTCTACAGCTCGGTGTTGGGTCTGGCTGTGTTCTGGACCACCAGCTGGATCTTTGAAGTGTCCAGTTGTGAGTATGAAGCAGAACAGGACCATCACCCTTAAACTCATATATTTTTGGTAAACTAGCCATTATCAGACCACAAAACAAAGCATATTTAAGAAATTTGCAACCATTTAATCCTGTATAACTTTTTTTTTTTAGCCAACATCAACAGAAAAACATTTAAAATCAACATGAAGCCAGGATACTTTGGAAGGAAGATGGTAAGGAAATGTAACTGCAGTAGATTAAAATAACATTATTATTGTAAAAACATTTTTTTTGTTATTTTATTTTATTTTTTATCTGCTGGGTCACAGGACACCGCTGATTTTGAGTGGATGATGTGGTTCTCCACCTTCAGAGCTCACATCCTCTTCGCTCTTTCTGGTCACGTGCTGTTCGCCAAGATCTGCTCCATGCTTGCTCCTCAGGTGCTTCTACTGACTTGTTCAATAACATTTTATCCAATATCTGCAGGTTTGGTTAATACGGAAGACAATTAGAGCCATGG